AAATATGAGTCAGTTTTGAAGGAGAAAGGAGTTAGAAATGGCTTTATATTCTCTCTATATATATTTTAAGACAGGATTTCATTTTGTGACCCAAGCTAGCCTCAGACTCACTATGGAGTCCAAGCTGGACTCAAGCTCCTAATCCTCCTGCCTCAGCCTTTCAGGAGCGAGGATTACAGGTGTGTACCGCTGTAACTCAGCTTCAGTGAGAACCTCAGTGGTCCTCAACCTCCTTAGTTTACTGATGGGTATTCTGGGGCCCAGAGACAGAGAGACACTTAGCCAAGCACACACAGCTAGCACGCAGGTTTGCCAGCTCTTAATACTTCTCCCACTGGGCCTGACTGCCCTGCTGGGGACAAGCTATGAGGACAGAAGAGGTTTGCATGGCTCTGGGGCTCTTCCAGATCTGTGGAGAAACAGAACTTTGAGAATAGCCAGCAGCTGCTGCTGAGACTCCAACCTGGTTTCTCAGGGCTCCTCAGTGTCCAGCTGAGGCTGAGTTCCAGAGGCCATGATGCCAGAGGGGTTTTGCAGACTCCTGTTTGTTTTATCTTTTTGCTCTCAGCAAGCATCTTCAGACATAAAGTGTGTGGTGGTTTTCAAAGAAAAAACCAAAATCCTGCAAGAGAAATGCAAACTCCCAGAATCCGCCGTGCTGTGAAGAAAACGCAATGGCTTTATGATCTTTTAAGACACACAAGAGAGGCTTTCTCCCACCAGATGGGAATCTCAGGCCATCTTGCTTCTTCCTGCTTTGCGTGACCAAACCCAATTGTATAAAACTTTTAGCTTCAAAGCTGGGTTCTGAATAACATTGGCTTAACCTGAAATTTGAAGCCAGCATTTCTCTGCTTCCCGAGAAGGGGCTTCCTGCCCCTTGCTCCCCTGAAGCTAGCTTCCAGAATGTTAATTCTATGAGCCATGGTTGACTAAGCCCAGCACTGGGTCTATTACATATTATTTGATTTGGAGCCGAAAGAAAAAAAAAAAGATTTAAAGATACCATGCCCCTGTATACCTTTGCACTTTTGCCCATATCTGTCTATATATTTAAGCATACTATCCACGGTGTGAGTTTTTCTGTAGCCTACCTCTAAGACCACAGCCTCCAATTAAGTCAACATCTCTGAAGTGCCACAGACGGTCACACTGCCTGCCTGGCGGGTCAGACTTGCCCTTGTGCTGGGGATGATTTTTCGTGCTCATTTCTGTAGCTGCCTCTGAGCACTGATCTCTTGGTGTAGCTCATACCCACAGTGCACCCACTGTGTGCAGCATCCAGAGGCAGACTGGCATGCCCTTGCCCTCTTGGCAATCAGATTCCTTTTTGCTAGAGTTCTCACCTTGGCTGATACTTGTGCCTGGCCTGGCCTGGTTAGTTTTCAGTTAATGTTCGCCTCTCCCACGGATGGTACTCTGAGAAGGAAAGGGCTATCTTGTCTGTGGCTGCATCCTTTGCATCAACACTTGCAGAGCTGGGCTGAGGCAAGAGGGAATGGCTGAGTGAAGACCCATGGAGGGATCCCAATTTGCACAGACCAAATTTGCAGAAGGAAGTTGTTGGTCGTAAATGCTTTGCACGGGTACTTCATCCAGCAGCGACAGAGATGAACTAGCGAATAGCGCAGTGTGAGCATGAAGGGCTAGGGGCTTGCTGCAGAGATGCGGGGTGGCTAGAGTCCTGAGAACGGGAGCTGGAAAAGTACTGGGGCAGGACGGAAGGCATCCTGGAGGAGGAAGTGTGTGCACTTGCAGGCTGTCCGTCCTGGAAAACAGGGCACAGGCCATTGAGAAGTGTAGTTTGTGCTACTCCTGGGTTGATTGGGTAACCTGCAGCTAACAGGCTGACAGCAAACACTATCTTGATTGGCCCCTGGTCTCCAAAGATGCAGTTGGAAGCAGAGTTTAGGAAACAGGGCCCAGGGTTGAGGAATGAAGTGGGCAATTCTTTCCCTAGCTGCTCAAGTCTGCTCAGGGCTCCTTCAGTAAGACTCAAGTTTTCTGTGGCCTCTGAGACTCTCTACAGGCTCCTGGGATTTCATTTCTCCCTCTCTGTTCCTCTCCTACCCATCCTCTACTTGTGATTCAAACACAGCCCCCGCCCCTTGGAAGCTCTCCCCATGCCCACCCCCAGGGCAGGGGCATTCCCTCTAGTTTTACACGGCTACACGTGTGTATTTCTGTGTATTGTTTTATACTTACTGTCGGGCAGTGTGCAGTCCCATGTTTGTTTGTTTGATCTCTTCACGGAAGTGGGCTGTCCTATCGAGATTACATCCCTTGCCACTGCATCCTCTCTTCTTGTTTGCTTTATAAAAATTTAATTTGCCAGTTGGAGAGATTGCTCGGTGGTTATTAGTACGTATTACTCTTGCAGACGTCTCTGCACCCATATCACAACTGTCTGTAACTACAGCTCTAGGGGAATCAAGGCCTCTGGCCGCTGTGGGCACTCACAATTATGAACACATAACCCCTCCACACAGACACAACATCTATACGTACACATACTTAAAAACAAAAATCATCTTAAGTTTTTAATATTACCTGGTAACTTTTTGAATATTTACTAAATTGAACGTGTAATTATGTCTTTAGGAGTGGCCTAAGTCTTTTCATGGCTGTTACTTATTTGTTTTTTGTTTTTATTCTTGACATAGAATCTTTTGATAGGCTAGTCTGGAACTCTCGCTATTCCTGCCTTCACCTCCTGAATTCTAAGATTACAGGCATGTACCGCTAGACCCAGCAATCCCATGAGTTCTTAAGGAAATGTTACTTAGTTCTTTCCCCACTGATCAGGCATGTGAATGGAGGTGCTTGCGTGGGACAAGTTGGTAGCATCTGGGTCATCAAAGCAGCCTGAGTTCCCTTGAGTGCAGCCCATGGGTCCAGTATTGACTTAGAGAAAGTCACAGCTGGATCAGGCCAGCTCTTTTCCTGAAAGACCCTGTAGAAGTGGGTCCAGGTCCCAGCTAAGCTGCTTGAGCCCGCAGTGCACACAGTGTTCTCAAGGGACCCAAGGACCTATTGTACATAACCTGAGTTGGCTCCATGCTCTGAACCCTCCCTCTGTGCTGGGCCCTACTTGGTGACCAGTGACCTTGTCCACAGGGATCCAGAGTCAAGCCACCCTCCCTGGGCTTCCTCAGGAGATGAAGCTCCACCCTCCAGGGCTCTCAGTTTAGAGGTTCTAGCTGGCCAGGAAGCCTCCAGGCAAGGCAGAGTTGGGCCTTCTCAGGGAAACAACCAGTAGGAGAAAGAGAGGAGATCTTGGTGGGAGTTGGTTTCATTTGGAGTTTGCTGGCTGCCTGGGAGGCAGCGCGCAAACTGGAGAGGCTAGCTGAAGTAGGGAGGCAGAAATCAATCTCTTAAAAATTGATATGATCTCCATGGCAGCAAGAAACCTGATGGGTGCTCTAGAGTGCAAGGTCACTGGGGCAGAAGTGGCTGGGATGATGGACAGAGAAGTTGCTGAGTGGGAGCAAGCTGAGCATTGCAGGTGTGCGCGTGTGCATGTACATGCATGTATGCGTGCGTGCGTGCTCATGGGCATGTGTGTATGCATGCATGTGTGTGTGAAATTTATAACATACAAAAGACGGTTCAACCCCATTTTTCAAATTAATAATTCATTGTATTTTCTTTGAACTAAAAACACCATCCCCAGAGACAGACATGGTGGGCAGCTAACGTAACAGGATACTTTCTTAACTTGTGCATCAGAATAGGCAGTGCTTGCAAGTTCTGAAACAAAAGGCAGATGCATTATATGCAATATTTCTTTTATATTTGTACTAGAAAATATGTATACACAGAATACATGTATCTGAACATTAGTAAGAACACACCAAGCCATCTTTTCTTCTCTGTTTTCACAAAACACTGTGGACATCAGGATCCTGCACCTTGCTCATTCTTCACATAACCGTGGATCCTGAAGGTCTTTGCATCTTGGTTTGCTTGCTGTTCACCGCTGCATGGTTTTCCGTTGTTCCAGTAACGCCACAGCCTGTTTAGCCAGCTCCCTATGAATGAACTTGGGTTGTTTCCAGCCTTTTGTTCCAAGAGCCTTGTGCATCTATCACGTTCCATATACATAAGCCAGCTATAAAATATACTCCCGGAAATGCCGTCTCTCAGGGATAGTGCACATGGGATTTTGACAGGTTTTTGTCATGTCATCTAGCACAAGTGTGTGACTGGAATGGTACAAGTGTCCTCCCAGCTTCCTAGAACAGCGTGTTACAGACTGGGCACGATGGCAGTGACGGCTGTGTAGGGTGAGGTACAGAAGGGGCGACAACACCCATGACTAAGTCTCTCACTCACCCTGAGTTCAAATCCTTGGGCAAAGAAACTGTGTCATTTCTGAAGGCCTGGAGTTTTCATCTGCAAAGCGGGGGAATAGTAACATATTGAATTAGTTCCTATTTTTGTTTCCGCCATGCAATTCCTCAGGGCAGGTAACTTGGTAATTCCTCATGATTCTGCAAGTTCAAACCTGCGATGCAGGCTCAGCCTTGTGTGAGTGTGCACATGCTTGTGTGAGAGAGGAAAGAGCTGAGATGAAGAGGGGGAAGAGGAAGCAGGAGGATAGGCACCACCAGACAGAAAGCCAGAGAGGAGGGTGCTACTAATCTCATGACCTCCTTCCCTCCACCCCTTTTACACACTCACTCACTATCGAACCTGCAACACATAAGCACTAGGAGCACAAATACAAACCACGGCACATGTATGAGGGGTCTGTGTGGAAAGTCAGGGACAGAACCCCTAACAAATGGGCTTTGCACTGTGTCTAGCATGCGATTATGAGCGGCTGACTCTGCAGTTAGCAGCAGGTGACCTTGTCCTGCAGCCCCTGAATCCCTGTCATGGGCAGGGAGCTGGCTGGAGGGTCAGTCCGGCCCCCTCCCCAGCCTCAGGGTCTGGCCTTTCCTCCGTGAGTGGCAGAATAGCCTCCACTTACCCTTTCTCTCTCATGCTCACCCAAGGTATCCAGGAGTCTCCAGTGCCAAACGGCCACTCACTTCCAGGCAGAGACTTCCTCCGGAAGCAGATGCGGGGAGATCTGTTCACACAGCAGCAGCTGGAGGTGCTGGACCGCGTGTTCGAGAGGCAGCACTATTCAGACATCTTCACCACCACGGAGCCCATCAAGCCGGAGCAGGTACGCTGTGACTCCTGCCCACAATACCTGCTGCCACCGTGCAGGCCTGGGTTATTCCTGAATGCAGGGGCATCTGTACAGTGAGGCTGAGAGTCTTTGCAAAGTGGGCTTTTTGTTGGTGTTGGCCAAGCTTGGCTGGTCACAACATCCCACAAGGCCAGGAGGATTTGCTCAGGGGGCCTCTGAGGCTCCTTGGCCTGCTAGCTGTGTCTGTAGCCAGCCACAGAGGCACGTGATTCCTATGGTTGCTGGGCCGCTAACGAATGTGTGCTTTCCCGGGGCTCTTTGGATAGGGGTGTATGTGATGAACTTCTGGGCCACTCCAGGTGGTTTTGCCATCCTCTCAGTTAGGAACATGATATCAATATATAGACTCACTTTGTGGCCTCGGGCTTATGGTAATGGAGTGGATGGATGATATCTCGTGATTTTTGGCCTTTGCTTGGCATCATGGGACTCCTGGCAGGTGTGGCTAGGCCAGGCATGGGGTCAGTCATCAGAAGGCCCTGCTCTGACAGGTAAGTCAGACACCAGCCTTTCTTTTATGGCTCTCTCTGAGATGAGGAGATTTTACAGACCATTTAGGCAGTTTGCTTTCAGATGGGGAAACTGGGGCCCATAGAGACAAAGCTGCTTGCTTAAGACTGCTCTGCAAGTATTCACTAAGCAAACTCTGGCAACTGTCTAGTACAGGGAAGGCATGGAACTAGATTCTCTGTGCCCATCAGTGAGAAGATAAGCTTGGATTCACCCCCAAACCTGTAGATTTGTAGAAGAATCACAGCTTGGTACTAGAGAGATGTCTAAGTTCCTGTGAGACTAGCCAGCTTGGACACTGCCATAGTAAACAACAATAGGGATATGGGCATGGAGGAATGTGTCTGGCAGAGCGAATGTCAAGGACAAAGGCCCTGAGCTGAGGTGGAGAGACCAGGAGTGGAAAGATCCAGTGTGGCTGGGATTCAGGGAACAGGGTGGGAGGTGATGCTGAAGAGATGAGCCTGGTCGTACAGACCTAGGGAGGATGTTGCTCATTCTCTCACAAGTTAAATGATCCCTCCCCTGCAAGTGACGTGGCCATGTGCACTGGGGAGATGGCCCCATTCCAGAGCCTGGGTTTGTGGAGGAGACTCTCTCAGAGAGCCGCCCTCCACTCATGAGTCTTCCTGAGAGCTGGTAAAAGCCACATATCATCTGAGCTGTGGGAGACGTAAATAAGAGACCAAGGGTCCAGGGCTCTGTGCCTGGCTTTGCCAGCATCTCCATTGAACCAGTCTGATTGAAACACAGACACTGAGTGTCGAGTCCCTCTGCGTTTCGTGGGAGTCTCACAGAAGTCCTGAAATTCCACTTTATTCATTTAAATGTCTGGGAAGATGGGCCCAAGAGCAGGCATTCACTGGGAGGCATCCCAGAACTGTCCAGGTACCTCCTCGCTCACTCTGGAGCTCGCCGGTCCAATACATTTCCTGCATCTGAGCAGTGGGCCCAGAACAGTGCCAGACTCGGAGGGGGCTGAGGCACAAGCCAGGTGGCATCCCTGTCAGTTCTTTCGCAGAATGGTGTGCTGTGAACTCAGGAGCCACAGACCTGGGAAAGCACGATGGTTGATGTGGAATACTGAACAGGGGAGGCTTAGCTGTGAGGGTTGCACCGAGGGCAATCGTATTGAGGAGGGAATGCTGCACGGATCCCAGGGCTAAGGCCATACTGGCTCAGGAGGAGACGAGGCCCAGTAGGGAGGAGGCCTGAGCTGCGCAGGCTCTGGGAAGATACGTTTCGATGGTGTCCTTCAGAGCGCTGTGGCCTGGTGCAGGCCCGACTGTGAGTTCTGAGGCAGGATAATGACTGACTCAGTGTCTTTTGGCTAATCCGCTTCACCTCTCTGTGGCACGCCGTAATGAGGAGAGATGGAAGGTGAGGCCGGAGGGCTCCCTGTACACAGGCAGGCACTGGACTATGAATGACACACCCTCGCGCCCTGTTCCCAGTCACTAGGGACAAATGATGACTTGAGCTGAGCAAGGGGCTGCTGCAGGGTAAGACTCGAGCATCAAGGGTATGAGCTCCTCGAGCCCCCTCCTGCTCACTCTCTTCTGAATGACTGTTGGCGGGTGCTTCCTGTGCCCCTTGTGGTTCCCCCAGAGTGGTATGGTAGTAATGCCAAGAAGTGGGCCCCTGAGCTGCTGGCCGTGGAGACTGGCCATCTCATCCACTTGCCAGCAAATCAAGTGGCCTGCGTCTCTGTTAGTGGCCTGGTGCGGGGCTTGTTGTTTCTTTCACTGAATGATCTAATGGGGGCTATCAAGAGCACGTCCTGACTGAGGAGCTGGGACCTTGCTTTGAGCCCTGCCTCTGCTCTGTTGAACTCTTTGCTTTTTTTCTGGACCTCAGTTTTCTTATTTGTGTAACCACGGTGGACAACGACAACAGCTGCAGCCAACTGACAGTAAGAGCCGAGGTTAGTCACCTCTGCCTGACAGGGATTGAATGCGGCCCACACTGGACTGTCCCTTTAAATGTCCCCCAAGCGGCTGGGTCTGAACTTTGAAATAAACTGTATACCCATTTTCAGGCCCAGGATGGTTGAGGCTATAAAACTAGAGTCTGACCTCAGGCTCTTCCCTGTCCTCGTGTTGTTCAAGATGGTGTCATGGGTCTTTGTGTCCTGGAGGGTTCTGGGATCTGTTCCTGGACTGGCTAGTGTTTGCCAGGCCTTCCTCAGACAGTCTGTGGGTCATTCCAGGACATACACGGGCCTGGACAGATTACCCATCCCATTCCTGGGAAAAACATCACTAACTTAATGCCAGGGTGGCCCCGAGGTCACCATTGGGAGCCTTTCCTGCTAATTTCTGCTCTGAGTGGGTGGCCATCTTGGTCTGTCTTTCAACGGAAACTCAGAATCCCCTTTGTCTTGGTGGGAGAGGTTAAGGAGACCCACTCTGGGCCAACGAAGCACTTCCTTCTCAAAATGGTTATTGAAAAACTAGTTCTGTTTTCCCTAGATGACAGGCGAGTGAAAGTTAACACAGAGCAAGAGAAGTTGGGGGCAAAAAAAATCTGCTGAATGAGTGTATGCATGTCTGTGCTTGCGTGCATGCGTGCATGTGCGTCTCTGTGTGTGTGTGTGTGTGTGTGTGTGTGTGTGTGTTCACGGCTGTGCGCAGATGCACATGTGTGTCCAGCAGTGGAATCTGTTTCAGTCAAACTCAAGTTGATGCTGGTTGTCACTGTGGTGAGCACTGGCTGTGGCAGAGTGGGTCGGCCACCGGGAGGACGCAGCCGATCGCAGCCCTGCTGTATTTACCCTCGGCAGACTATTAACCAACACTAGGCTATTAATCTGGCTTTTGAGCCTTCACTAAAGCCCATAAAAGCTCACAGTTGTCAAATGGAGTTCATTTTAATTTCCTTTCAATCACAGTAAATTATTCAGGTGATAAATCAGCTGGAGCAGCCTCCTGGCTGTAATAGAAACCCTAATTCCTGCCTAATTATCCAGCCCATTGCTGCCAACAGATCAATACGGGAGCAAAATGGAACGGGCCCAGGGCCCTCCCTCCCATTGGGGCAGAGACAGAGAGACAGCTGGGGACGGGGATGTGCTGCTGACCTCCTGGGAAGTTCAAAGGTCATGGGGGGTTAAATCAGGAGATGGCCTGTTCCTTGTCTAACAGAAAGCCGCCAGAAGTACCTCCTGTTCTCCGGAGCAGCTTTGCCCACTGCATGGTGGCTCTTCTGTACGCCAGCAGGTGGACTGGTTTCTAACTTGGCCTGCTCCCATGGGCATCCTCCCTGGGGGAAGGGGTTGGTTGTTGGCATCACCCAACAAGACTGATCTTGTTCTTCAGGGGCAGACTCAGAAGCTACCAGGAATCAGAATAGAGACCTGGGCATTGGGGAGGGATGTGAGGCTCTGGCCTCAGGGGGCTCGTTTTCCTCCCTGGTGTATGTGTGTCCTGTCGTGAGGAGGTGAGGAGGGGTAGGGAGACGGGTATATCAGGCCACACTCACAGGAAGGTTCCTGGGGATGTCTGGAGGGCTGGGCAGATCTGGGCCTGTGGAGATGGCAGTGTTGCCTGGAAAGGGTGTTCTGCACAGCTGGAAGGGCACACACAAAGGTCTGGAGGATGCCAGCATGGGGCCGGACTATCATCTGAGTGACAGTAAGTCAGGGACTCAGATCCCAAGTGAGGACATTTGATGTTGCTCCGGGATCAGAAAGTCTCAGAGAATCCAGGTGCTATGGCCTGGACCATGCTCCTTCCTGGGAATCCATCTTCACTGGGACTTCTTGCCTCTTTCCCTGCCCCGGTGTGGTCATTGGCGCTTTCCTCCCGCAGCCTACCCCGCCACAAGAACTGCTTGTGGTTTCCTCCCTAGTCTGTCCTTTTCAGAACTGTTCACTGTCCCATGTCCCTTCACTTGCCCATAAGATGTTCTTGCTCTGGCTGGGCCTCACCCCCCTGCACTACAGGAGCCGAGCTGCTTCTGTGTCAAGAGGGTGGCTAACCTGTCTCTCAGGCTGGCATGTGCACATGTATGGTACACGCCTGCATGTGGACACGAGGAAGAGCTTGGCAAGTGCTTAGCGGCACTTTCTTCGATGCTGTTCACACTCTAATCTGCTGCTCACTGGTTCCCTGCACGGAGCATCAGTCCACACCTGAATACACATCCCTGTCCCCTTGGTCCAGGCCAAGCAAGAGTCCTGTCCACTCTTGTGAGTCACCCACGGCCCCATCAACCCACACCCCCGTCTCCTGTTTGACTCAGGCTCACAGAGTGCTAACTCTTACCGTAGAATCATAGTCAGTGTGTGCTCGCTGCTCACCACGGGCCGTGGCAGATTCAGCAAAGAGCCACTCATGGCTTCTTCCTCCCACAGAAACCTCCGTCAGCCCACTATGCAGACGGCACAGCGAAGGTCCAGCGAGACGGCTGTACCATGACTTAGCCAAGGGAACACAGCAAGCCCAGAGTGAGGATGAGAAATG